TCTTCTACCCTTTTCAAGAATTCTGAGGAATTCCACAATGATCTTCTTCCCTCCCCATCTTCCAGCACCACCTGCCTGAACTATGGCCCCAAAACTAGCAGATCCCTGGAATCAGTCATGTCAGGTTTCCCAGATGTCATCACCCTCTCAGCTACAGTTTACAAAGACTTCTGGTTCTGTAACATCTCTGACCCTTTTCAGTATGGACCAAGACTGACCTCAAGCACCACATCTCTCCCTGTCAGCCCAGTGAGCAGCTTCACCAACCTGAGCCAGTGTGATGTGTCCTGCAGTCTGACAAGCCTAAGCCACCAAGGAGTGCCACTTCCAGTCCCTAGCAGGAGACCTGGACCCCTGAACAAGATGGTGGACAGGAAGAGAAAGAGAGATGAGGATGATGAGGTAGAGGTGAAGGTTTGTAAGAGGGCCAGGCTATAGGTATGGTAGGTATAGTCAGATGTACATTGTTAATGTATGTCTGAAGCATCTATTTCAGTAAGATTAGTTGCTATATTTTCAGTTTTCTATATTTAGCTAGCTTTGAATTGAAATGTCTTTACTTGCTGGCATTATTGTAGTCATTAAATGTGATATTGTAATACTTGGTCAAGCTACGTTTCATCTTTATTTAACTTTTCAAAATAGGTGCATGCTTCCTCTAGTATTACCAATGTGAATGTCTCTACACTAGTTTGTAATAACTAAAGTCCTATTCTTATCACTGTCTTGTGTTCCAATCAACAATTGCTTCCTCTCATTGTTATTCTTCAGATCACGTCATAAACAGTCCTGACGTTTCTCCCACTGTTCACAACATGGTGAACCTACATTGTTGTCACAGTCCCTGCCGCTGGTTCTATCTCCTATTCCTGACCCTGATTCTAGTCCCCTTTCATTTATTCATGCCACTGCCAGAGGTTTTAGCGCCTGATCCTGTCGGTGTTTCTGACACCTGATCCTGCCCCTCCAGTGGTTCTAGCTGACCCCTTGCTCCAGCTCCTAAAGTTTGTCCCTACCAGATGTTCAGGCTCCTATTCCTAACATTTCCCATCCTAGTTTTACCTTTTAATCAAATCCCCGCCAGTAGTTCCTCTTCCTGTCCCTGTCCCTAGTTCTAGCTGCTAATACAGTCCCTCTCCCTGGTTCTAGCTCCTTTTCCTATCATAGTCAAACTCCTATTCATGTACATACCAGAGGTTCCAACCTTAAACCATGTCCTCTGAACTAGCCTCTATACCTGCCCCTACCAGAGGTTGCCCTCTAATATTCATGTCCCTTCCCCTTGCTCTAGCACGTTTAATTTTCCCCTGCCAGTGGCTCTAGCTCCTCTTACTGTCCCATTCTCTGGTTGTATTTCCTGATCCTGTCCCTAACCAAGCTCCCATTTATGTCCCTGCCAATGGCTCTAGCAGCTCCTACTCCTGTCCCACCAGTGGTTCTATCCCCTAATCCTGCCCCTTTCAGAGGTTGTGGTACCTCTGACTCCTGACCCTTGTTGCAGCTCCTATTACCATGGTTACCTGGTTAATGATATACATGATAAAACATATAAGCTAAATAGTACTAAATGATAAGAATAATGCAATCAACAATGCTTAATAATCTTATATTTGGTGAGGTGAATCTGGCATTTGCTTCAGGCTAGAAGACTAGTCCAGTACTATACGTGCAGGTAACAGATAGGTGAATACAGATAGTAATAAATCAGTGATAAAAAATAAAGTACACAATATGTTGTTCAAAACTGACTGGCTGGGAATAAGTATAAACTTTTGTTTTAAAAACAATCTGTGCAATGAGAAAAAGGCTCATGTTTCATTGGTCTCAAATGTATAACCCAATTTCTGTTTGACATCTGATATATTTTCTATCAACCACTTATAAGATATAATGTTAAAGTCAGTTCTAGTACAGGAGGTGTAGGCGTGGCTAGAAGGGGAGGCCACTGTTTAGTTAGGCTGGTAGTTTGTATATAGTGTGTAAATAAGCTTAAGATCGGTAAACATTAAAATGAATTACCTACATGATGTATTTTCTTAATAAAAAATCAGTAAAGTTATTCATTCATAGTATATTAAAGTCAGAGTTAGTACAGGAGGTGTAGGCGTGGCTGGAAGGGGAGGTGGAGGCCACTGTTTAGTTAGGCTAGTAGTTTGTATACAGCTTGTAAATAAGCTGAAGATCGGTAAACATTACAATGAATTGCTTACATGATGTATTTTCTGAATAAAAAATCAGTAAAGGTATTCATTCATACCATGTTAAGGTCAGTTCTAGCATGTCTAGTATAGGAGGTGTAGGCGTGGCTAGAAGGGGAGGTGGAGGCCACTGTTTAGTTAGGCTATAAGTTTGTATACAGTATGTAAATAAGCTGAAGATCAGTAAACATTAAAAAGAATTGCCTACATGATGTATTTTTATTATGAATATTAAAACATCGATAAAGGTTCATTCATATAATGGGGTGTTAGGGTTGCTAGAAGGGGAGGTGAAGGCCACTGTTTGGCTGGACTAGTAGTTTGTATACAGTGTATAAATAACCTGAAGATCGGTTAACATAAACTGTGTCAAATAAATTGTTTGAAAGGCATAACTTAAAAGTTGACGAATGACAAGATAGACACAATGTTATGGATAACAACTTCTTTTATACTGTATTAAAGAAGTTGTTATCCATAAAATTGTGTCTACCTTGTGTCAAATAAATTGAAAATAGGGTAAATTTTGTTATAAATATCAAAACATCAATAAAGGTGGAATCATAATTGTTGAATAAATATATAATTGCATCTTTCTGTTCATTTATGCTTTAAAAATATAAATGTTTCAGAGAAATATATCATAATATCTTAAGTTTACTTTTATCTTTCTCCTTTGTTCATTCACTCTTCACAAACATAATCTGTTCAGAAAAATAAATCCTAATATCTAAAGTCTGTGTCTTTTGTTGTCATTCATACCCAAGGCAATATCCCAGCAGGTGACACCAGAAATAGGGAATCGAACCAGGTTCCTCGGAATGATGAGCAAACGCTTTCCTCTACCAGGCTACTTCGCTGCCCTTACCCAAGGCAGATGTGGGCTGAGACAGTAGAAAATGTGGTGGCACATAACAAACATGTGCTCTGGAGTGAAACTTATGGTTCATTCCTCTCTTTGACCATTCAATCACCAGAACTGTCGTTTATTGTGTTTGTTTGTTGTATAACCACTGTACCAGTCCAGAAGTGGGCTTCACACTGTACTCCCATGTGAGACAGGACATCAACCTCTCCGTCGACGCAACTTGTCGTGGATGGAATCGGGTGCAGCGTGAGAGTATCAGAAGCTTTCGTAAAATCCGATGTGCACACCTCACTCAGGTTTATATTCTATAATTGGTTTATCAAATGCTTATGGAATAGGGTATTCATAAATTAATGTGCTGATATATTACCCAGAGGCCCCTGAGGCGGGATAGTGATATTACCGAAACACCGGACCTATGATATAACTTATCATGTTTCTGACAGACCATAAAATAACTGACTGCTGTCAATGATAGTCATTTTGGTGTCTCGAGTTGTCCATCCCTCCTTTTTTTATATGTTATGTAAACACTCAGAGTTTTCTCAACTTACATGTTTTAGCTAAATTGTGCTTATATTGTCCTAGATGTCTAAATATGTCAAAAACATGGCAGATTTGCTGAAAGTTGTCTTTGTTAACAGGATTAGATGATTTTACCAAAAGTGGCAATATTAACACGTTTTCATCCCAAATTGAGTTAATAAATTTATTTGTTTTGGCATAATTTGTGTAACCTATGTTCATTAATGTTTATAAACAAAGTGCTCAGCAGCAAAGTTTGCACGATAAAAAAATAGTGAAGAACATAAGTAATTAACATGTCATTAGAATATAAATCTTAAATAGTAAGGATTAATCTCAGAATTGGTTCTGCTGTAAGTTGCAGTCTGGTTATGTATGGTTTGCTGGTATAGAGCTTGATTATATACTCAATACCAAAGGGCACCCCAAGGTGAATACATCACAAATTTTGTGGGGGCACGGGTGGCCCAGTCGTCTAAGGTGCCGCGATTCGCTGTGGAAGGTTGCGTCCCCTGGGCACGCCAGAAACCTATGATTGTGGCTTCGAATCCCGGTGCACCATACCCTTGCTCGTGGGTTTCACCGAAGTGGTAAACGTCTGAGACCTGAATCACTCCGGGCTTTCCTCCCACATTAAGCTGACACGCCGCAATATAACTGGAATACACGCCGCGATATAACTGGAATACTGTTAAAAGCGGCATTAAACCCAACTCACCCACCCACCAGTTCTCTGTATAAACCTCTCATAACTCATTCTGTCTGTGACAGGGTGACACTTTCATAAACAAATCCTGGACCTCAAATAAATTTCCATAATGGATTTGTAGTAAGGAATCTCAAAAATGCCAGGTCAAGTGTGGCCTATTGCTAGACTTATGTCCCTTAGCAACACCAGGATCTTCTTGTCAGGGGTTAGTATCCACCAGTCATTCCAGTTGTAACCCCTGATATGTCAGAACTTAACCTGTGCTTGTGGGTTACACCAAGACCTTGTGTTAGATGTCCAGTCATCATAACTGCCAACATCACAGTGAGATTGAATCCCCAGTTATGAAATCTGACCAATCAACAACATACTCACACTCATGAATTTCACAAAATATGTAGATGTCGCTTTGGGCCTTCCCCACTTTAATGTGACCTGCCATGTTATAAATGAAACACTCTCTAGTGAGTGAGTGAGTGAGTGAGTATGGTTTTACGCCGCTTTTATCAATATTCCAGCAACATCACGGCTGGGGACACCAGAAATGGGCTTCACACATTGTACCCATGTCGGGAATCGAACCCGGGTCTTCGGCGTGGCGAGCGAACGCTTTAACCACTAGGCTACCCGACCGCCCCGAAACACTCTCTAAGCAGCATTGTCACTAACTCTTTGTGACAAACAGCAACACTGAATGATGTGACATTTGGATGTTTTATTGCGAGATATCTTTTCCAATGAATACCCAGTGTTTTGATGAGAATATCAAAACCAGATCACAGATATGGTACAGAAAATTTATAGAGTATCGTTTATGTAGATAAATAGGCACATTTATTTACAAAGACAGCATTGTCAATTTCAATCACAGTGGTGTTCATTTCAGTTCTCTGAAATGTTTCTGCATTCTCTCAACATGAGACGGATACTTGCACATGACATATAGTACTAACACATGTATCTATCATCAGTGTACAGTTAACAATGCACTCAGTCTCTTCTACACTAATGAAACAGATTTAGGAAATGAATATTGTGAGATATGAATCATTTTACACTTGTCAATATCACAAACATTACTACAGAATACATGTCACATATTATGTCAGTTTTACCAATGGTTTACATTGTAAAAATAATTATCATAAAACAATTATCATAATTAAGGTGTTGGACTTGTTATATAATAGTAGCATGATCCCAATAGCTTCAATGACTTAAACAACAAGTTTCCATTCTTCAAAATATGAAGAAATGGGCTTTAAATAATATTCCAAATATTCCTTTCAATAAATAAAAGATAAAAAGAAGTCTCCAAAAGAAAACTGACACTCATGATAAGGTAGCAAGAAAGAATATCAAGAACATCCAACGAGTCTTTGTCTTGTTTTTGTTTGACGAATATCAACAGCAGTTTCTATGGCTTTTCACCCTTAAAAATGGTGTACTGAATGTTAATTATGTTCTTTTGTCCTAAAAACCTGTGCCATGTAAACATATGTTCAGCCACCACTCTTGTGTTTTGACACAATATCAGAAAGAAATACCTGACACACAGGGCTTAAACTGATGGTAATTAAAACAGAAAACAAAAGTCTTTTTCCCTTGACATTCATGGCGAAAATACTTGAAAAATTAAGAGAAGTAAAGAAAAAGACTTGAATGTTAATATCATGAAATACCTTCGACAAAATCATTCATAATCGAAATATCGAAATTGAAGATAATCACTCTCCCACGTCTTCACAAACTCAACAATTCCTTAATAAATAACAATATTCTTTATATAAAATTCAAATTTGTTCATGGGCAATATTTACATTTAATTATCACAGTATGATAAACATATATAAGTAATATGCTCATAACAAAACAATTAACTACAAGCCAGCTGCTTAGCTCCTGTAGTTGTAAATAACTAGCATCAACTTGTTTCTAAACAAATAACAAAATCATATTTAAAAATTTGTAAGGAAACTTAATTGAGAATCATTTACAATGGAATGAGTGAAAAAGATCTTCCTTCACGCAAAAGGTAAAAAAGGGAAAAAACAATTCTCCCCAAGTCAACTGCTTAGCTATTGTAATTTTCAAGATATTTGTAACAATTAGTTTCTGAACAAATTATAAAATCACATATAAATATTCACATGGAAAATTAACTGAGAATTGTTACCAATAGAATGACTGAAAGATAGTTTCCTACATGTAAAAAAACATAACAGATTTAAATATCAAGCAAGTGGCTCAATAAGGGCAGTGATTCTACAAGACTTCCTACACATAAATACAAAAATGTGGTTAAAAATATGTCTATACTATCATCTATGGCAGAAACACATCTGTGCCATGTAGGCACAATCACACATTTGGCAGATTGGAAGAGGAGCCTGCTGCAGCAAGTGGGGTAACTCTGGACGGAATAATAGTCCTTTAATGCTGTAACACATTAATACTATGTGTCTACTAAAATCCTCCCATTACATATCAGTGGTTGGCTGAGCTAATGAAATTCACTCTTGTCACAAAAAGAATGGAAAAATAACATTTAGTATTCAAAAGTTACCCTATAATTTGATGACATATGCGTATGCAACGTAAAGATACACTTCTTTACTTTTTACTATTTCTTACTTACATATCCATAATTAAAACAGAATAAGACACAGCCATGACAGTATATAAAATGTACATGTGGTTATTAGTCTTTTAAATAAGTCAGTCCTTATGCAACAAGAGTTTGCATTCTAACCTGAGGGGTACCTCTCTCGTACCCGTTAAGTGCTGTGACAGACTCAAACACAGGTTGATATAGCTTGTGACCACGAGTATCAAGTTCCACAAATTTGTAGGTGGATCGTGTGGTATCGATGACTGCAGCAGGGCAGGGCTCCGAAGCCTTGGGGGTGTAGTCCATCCTGTACATTGTGTTGTCATCAAAGGGACCTTGGCTCTGGACGAAGTCATTGGAAGGTTTGCAGCTTTGGTTGGGGTTGATTGGGTGAGGAATGTAGTGAGACTTCTGGGTGGACATGCCCTCGAATGGTGCGTTGTTGGGTTGGTAGTCTGGCTTCATGACTGGACGGCTCCTCTGTCCAAGGTCCCATGGGCGGAAGTCAGTGGAGTAGTTTGTAGTTCCATCGAAGGTTCCAGCTCTCATGACATTTGCAGAGTGGGGCCTCTTGGCAAAGGCACGCTGTAAAGGATATTCCTTAAATGCCAGATTGTGTGTTGTGTTCATGTCCATGTCGCCGACTGGCTTCTTGTACTGCTCCGGATCCCTTACAAATGGACGATCAGCATCCCATTTCCGGTAGTCATTCTTGAAGGTTGTCATGTCTTCAAGAGGGGCCTGAGATTGGAATGCCTGAGCGTCAGGCTTACAGCTGTCTGTCTTTGGTGCATATGCCCCCTGGTAGTCTCTCTTGAAGGTGGACAGGCCATCAAAGCGGACACCAGATGGTCTATAGGTGTCCTTTTCCTTCACAAACTTTGCCTGAAGAGGATGTTTAATGTATGCAGCATTGTAGCCAGTGTTTCCATCGAAAGGAGCATCAGACATTTTGGCAGCCTCATTTGGTTTCATGGTGGTACGGGGAGCCTGGTTGTAGCGCTGGTAATCCCGGGTGAATGTGCTCTGTCCTTCAAATGGCTGCTGGGGAGGGTTCCAGGTAGAAACATCACCAAATCTGTTAGGGCGACCAGCCATATCCCACTTTCTGTAGTCAGCTAGAAACAGAAAAATGTCACATGAAAACTCAAGTGAAAGAATGCTTAGTTATCAAATCACATCACTACAGGTCAAGTGAATACAATGCATCTCTTATTTACACTTCAAAGAGGAAACCTTTTTGCTATTTCCCTTTTCCTATACACCAGTACATCATATACCATTTATTTCCCTTCCAGAGCAAATGAAAAACATACTGAAAAACTTATAAGAAAACAAATCTCAATCACTGTTACCAGAACAATCACGCTTATGAATACAGTTTCATGAGTAACACGTAACCATAGGAGTGATAAAACTTGTTCTGTTTACGGGCAACATTCCTCATTTACTGCACAGATTTTCAAACTTTATATTTTTATTATAATTTTAAACACTCCTCAATAGCATAATTTAATATGTTGAGTTGTTGACTAATCACAAACATAAATTTGTAACCAAGTAGTTACTCAGAGGTCATTTCGGCCACAACAAACTGATGTTTTGTTCATCTTGTTAGATGAAAAGTGAGGAACTGGTTACGACTCTCATCAACGAATTTAAAAAAGTAAAACTTTCTCTTGGCTGATGCATGTAGTGACACAGTTCTTAATAGAGCTGTAACACTTTCACGGAACCCACAATCACAGTATGGTGCTAAAAAAGATAGAAACATAAGGAGGGCAAATCTGTGATTCACACCCATTGTCACTGGTTTCTGGTCCTTCTAAGGGACATAACTCTGCACAGCGGATTGTGGTGCCTCAGACAACTCGCACTCTGTGACCCTGAGTTCTTGTCAGGCCTTACAGGTCCCCATTTGTTCCATTTGTTCCATGGAACATTAAAACTCTTCATCTCCGCAAAAATGTGTGCCTACTTTTGTAAGTGGGTTCGCCCTCGAACTTCCCTGGTACGTGCCGCATGCCCAGCTGTTTGATGGCCTTGGCTGGGGCGCCCTGCTTCTCTGTGGACAAAATCACCATGGTCAGCATGCAATAACAAAGTTTATTGAGTAATAACTTTTTAAATGCCATGGGAATTTATTTTCTGTGAGTGTTTTAATTTATATTATAGCTAAAATGGATAGAATTATCATTAAACCGCCAGCACGTTATTAGAAATGAGCGGGCCACTGTAACTTGATAATGCCCTCATAATGCTTGACGACAGGCCATTATCATGCCCGTTATTAGGTGACGTCATGGGGATAGGGAACGGTGACGTCACATTCAATAGAGACGCCATCTAGTTTGTTCTATGACGTTTCCATATTCGTAAAAGTTGGTCAGTGAAATTTGTGTTGATTGCAGTAAATGTTTCAAAACCAATATTGTTGTTTATATATATTTGATAACAAATTCTATCCATTTTAGCTATAATTAAGGTAACGCTATTTTTCAGGGCATTATCATTTGCAGAAGCCTGCGATCTTTTCAACTGCCCTCCTTCGTCGGGTTAATTGAAGTTAATGGAAGACCTCAGGCTTCTGCAAATGATAATGCCCTGGAAAAATAGCGTTACCCTTATAATAAATATTTATGTTGTTTGCTTGCATATAGTTTGTTTTTTTGTTGTCTGTGGTTGTTTAAGAGAGATTAAAATTGTTGTCTTTTCTGTGTTATTTTCCTATTTTAAGACAATGCCAATAAACAAAACTTTTTAAAAAAAACAATTTTATGGTTTTTTTATGTTTTTCTTTCAGACAAAAAACTATTTCAGACAACTGAACTGTTTTAATTTGTAGAAAAAGAAAGAGGAATCTAAACACATTTCTGTTTGGTTGGGTTTTGCCTCCAACATATTGTACTTGCCAAGAGAATACTGAAAAATATTATACTTAAAATATTTTTCAAATTAAATAACATTTGCAAAATTTGATTCTCAGATCTACTTTCTGTTGTATGAAACCTGAGGTTAGAAGATTCTTTTCTGTGTTATAGCAAAGCAAACAATTTCACTTAGGTTTATTTTGGCTCATGCAATAGGGCACACAAAAATTCACAAAATACTTAAAAAACACAAGTAATCAAATAGGGAAGGCCTCAAGAAACACTGACAGTATTTCCCACCTTGGGAACAGTTGCCACCCGTCGCAGCCTGTACAGTAGCATTACCTAGCGTCAAGCCTGACAGGTGTGTCATTATTTATTCATACTAACATGGAGGTATACACACATTCACACTTCACATATCATGGATACCAGCAGCGTGTGCTCTCTGACACAATAGCACAGGTTGCCATGAGCAACAAATTGTCATCATGAATTGGTCGCGGTTACCACTGTGAGGTTTTCAATAAGTGTAAATTTGAATAGCAAAGATTTGAATGGCAATAGATAAGATATACAGCACTCTTCAGTTTCTTTTGAAAACTGATATGGTGGAGTGATATTGTCGAGCCTTATGTCACAGCAATATACACCAAAAGACAGCTGACTAAGAATGTGGTTCTTCACATTTTTATTGACAATCTTATCAGTGTTATTCATAACTTTTAAACATTCAAAGTTTCAATTTGCATATATTGTACCCTATTTTCTTGAGTATAGTGCGCACTTTTTTTCCAAAAAACACAGCTGTGTAGAAGGGGGTGCGCATTATACACGAATTAATGAGTTTTGATGTTTTTTCCCCCATGGAAAGACATTACCGTGAGCACGTAACACCGGAAATACCATGTCAACAAATCCATACTGAAGTATGCAAATTAGTCATGTAATTACACTGTCCGGCTATAAAAAGTGTTCTTTATATCTGGACTTTTGTTTGTAACTTATTTTATTAATTTTATTCAAAATTCCTTTTAATATTGTTTTAATTAATTTCGGCGAAATCGTGTTTGAAGTGATCGGAAGATCGCACAACTCACCGTTATTAACAGCAACCACGGTCAGATTACCGCTATTGATGCCTTGAAACGAACTTTAGTTGACAGAGAATGGATACATATATCATAAATGCCACACTGTGACTCGTGACTGGTCAGACTGGTTCCATGTAAAAAATAATAACCGGCAATAGCAATCAGCTGCTTCGCTTAGGGTTATTATTATTTTAAATATGTTAAGTAAACATGGTAAAAGCTGTATCTAAATTAACAAGATATTGGAATATATTATTCCTGATAAAACAATAGTTTCACACATTGTACCCATGTCAGGAATCAACCAGGGTCTTTGGCGTAACGAGCAAATACTTTAACCACCAGGCTACCCAACCACCCCTCTCAAATTTTGAAGGACAAGTGACTTATCTGTGGTACATTATTTTCATGATTCCGAATATATTTAAATTTACTTAATATTCTGTAAAACACCATAACATATTGAAATAAACTGAATAATCATAAAACAGTGGTTTTGATCTCTTTATCAACAAAGCAATTGCAAATATGAATGATGTCTTTAACAGTAACACTATTTTGTCTGATCATGTTTTATATTTTTTATTGCTGACTTTAACATCCTATATTAAACAGAGAAATCATGAGAATGATTCTACTCCTGGAATCAATAGATTCGAGTGATTTCCCATGTTATGTTTGATGTAAAATTTCTCTATAATTTTGCTCAATGACCAACAGCTGCATCAGTTTGACTTGTTTAAAAAGCACATTCAGAATAGCCAGTGAATTCCTGGCTCAGAATCAACTGCAAGAACAGCAGTACAGATCACAAAGCCACTAAGTTGTTAACATTCTAGGGGTAGACATGGCCACTGTCCCAGACTAACGAAAGGGACTAGTTACTGTCTCCCCAGATCTTGCTAGTTTACATAGTCCACTGGTCCACAAGGAACTACAGACTATTTGGACATGTCCGTCGGTGTCTACCCCTGAATTCAAATAGGAACTATGGGGTTTCACAAATCAAGTCCTACGAGACTAAACATATTCATCTGCCTACCTGTATAATCTTTGTGATATGACGTCATCATATCATGATCCCCAGCAGGCCGGGAGTACTGGTCAGGGACATGGAACTGGGGGCGCTCTATGGGGTGGGGGATGTAGTCCACCCTGAAATACATCACAATGTACATTTACAAAAACGCACAGAGAGACTAAAACATGACTAACATCAAGAAATACAACAACTTAAAAAGCATTTGCTCCAATAAAAGTAACACAGTGGCAAGCCTTGCAGAAGATATTTTACTCAACAAAGACCATGTGATGAAACATAATCTCTTGATATGCAGATTCATCCAGTTTATATTTGGGCTTAACTCGATGAGTAAAACAATAACACGTCAGTCCTTACTTTAATTGTTGCATTTTGCTAGAGCAAGTTGTCTTTCTTTACGTATCAAAATATTTTTCACGTTCTAGCATTTTGTCTTCTAAATACTTGTTGTAGGCTAAAATTAGAATGTGTTTGAAACACCACCATTTAAATCATTAAACAATCAAATACTAGTAGTCATTAGGTTCTAATTCAAATTCCACCTGTTTCATACTCCCATATCACCAACTCAGAATTAATTATGTCGATCATGCTTCAGACATTCCAACACAGAGTGGAAACTAATCATTTCGACTCTGGATCATAATTTTGACTTTCCTTGTTTTCCATTTCAGATAACAATTTTCCTCCTCAGTAAATCAAGAATATGCTATATCTGTATATGTTAAAGGAAGGTACAGAAAATGAATGACAATACAAATATTGTGATGATATCGCTATTTTTCTTAGCATTTACTTGTTTTTAGATATTCAAAATTAGAAGTGTACATTACATCATATTATCAATGTGTTGCAGTATGAACTATCACAATAGGGAAGATATGTATTGCAGTACTTATTGTAAAATAGCCTGATGCTATTGCAATGGTGCCAAATGGATTTGTTTTGTGATGCAGAATATGGCACAATTTCATGGGTTTGGGTTTGTTTTTTTAAATTAGATGAAAGACTGAAAAGTAATGTTTAAATACTGTCTGTGTCTAAGCCACTAGAACAAAGACCATGTCTTATAAAATTGTCCTCAGTCTAGTAAGCTCAGCCAATAACATAAAATCTCCTGAAAATGATGCTAAGCGTCAAATCAGGCTAATCCACTCAATGCACAGACTGTAAATGTATGGTGTTCTTATTCTTATTCGTGACTGATCATTAATCATTGATCAATTGATTTCTAAAACCAAGGGTCAATCTTGAAACTGAAACCAATTCTCAACATGATCGAGTCACACTGATGCACCAGATGCATTAAATGAATGGTGAAGACTGCTCCGGTCTTAGTTATAAATCCATACAATTCCTTCAGACTCTTAGCACCAAGAAACAATGCGTTTTCCAATCAATATTTTAGAGGGTAAATCTATGTAAACAAATACTACCTTGTTGCTAGGCAGGTGTGAAAGAATGTTTCAAGCTGCTAAGAACATTACCGTCATTGTCACAAACATTACATTCCTTAATGATTATTACTGACACTGGCGTATGGCTATTATTGACATTGGGGTATAGCTATTATTGCGTAGTATTGATTATCGGAGTTGGAGTAAAATGGGATGTGCAGTGAAGGATGATATTGTCTGAAGGAACACACATGACGTGTGAATGGTGTTAATTATGGGAGTCTTATGACAAGTCAAGCTAGATATTGACAACAGTTTATGTTTTGATGACTGACAGTGGCAACCACATCCCTATAATTAGCTCCAAGAGTGCCAATCAAACTGCACATCAGCATATTTTCTTTCAGAGCGAAATGGGAAATATTACCAAATCTTTTATGGCAGAGTTATTGCTCAATATTGACAGGAAGAGTTAAAAGAAATAAGAATTATAACAAGAGTAATTCTACAATCTATTTGTCTATCCTTCTGAAACATGGTTTGAAATAGCTATCAATCCGTGCTAGTAATTAATATGAAAGTCAAAGGGCCCTTGTTATAATGTTAAAAGATGAAGATTTAGGGGGTCGATAGATTCAAATACCATAGAAAACCTCAAGGACCTCCCTTAATTTATCAGTGTTTGAACCCCAGAAATGTGTCTCAGTGTTGGACACATGGCACTGTTGACCTACTGGTTCCTTATGTCAGTTACTTTTATCACATTTCTAAACATGTAACTTTTATTTTTTCTAACAACTTTTAAAATAAATTGTTTCTCTGATCATATGCACATCTAAATTGTCAACCACATTCTTGTTAGCCGACAAATATCTTTCTGATTAAATCTTATGCGCAAAAGCCTGGCAGGAAAACATTCTAGGCCCAACTTGGGCTTGTACAGATTGATAAATTATAATTGAAGAACCAACAGAATATTTAGAACGTCCAGAAATGCATAGCTTTGTATTCTGTCAATTTAACAGAGTTTTGTTGTTAGTACACTCTAATGTTTAACTTTGCATGCACTTAATTATTCCCCCTGACATTATCAATGAAATGTTGCAGCATGTTACTGGATACTATGGGGGACATAGTAAAAGTGTTGCCGACAAGTGAGAAGACTGGTTTGCTTTGAACTCAACAGTAGGGCATTCCACTGTCTGACTGGCCAGTAGGTAATTGACAGATACATTTAATGACGCATTTTAGGCCAGCAGGCTACACTGGCTACACTGGCATTAATTTGGCGACAAATTTCATGACTTACAGTATTCATGAAGAATATGTAATGTAGGGTCAACTGCTAGTGGGAGTAGAGCTGAAGGGGTCGTTGTCATCAGGGGTACTACAGATTTGTACCCCAGGTACATTTCAGTACCCAGAAATGTACCCTAGTCAAATTCAGTAGGAGTAGAGGGAATTATGAGCATAGACTTGCTAAGTATTTTATGATATTCATGCCAGCTCAAAAGAAACTTTGATTTCTTTTTAAAGTATCCCCAAAATAAGTAAGATTAAACTTTATTGTTAAGCTGACAAAAAACTTGATTATATTTGTTGTTTACATATTAAAGTTTGCTAAATTGTTAAAAAATGTTTAAAGCCACAGCAAGGCCACTCATTCTCAACATGCTAGGCACAATATAGCTGGACAGAGAGGACCTTCCCTTTCACTCATCAATTAACAAGCTATTGTGGGGCCAGGCTTGGCACGGATGGTTTGGAGAAAGCAGGGGGCTGAGGGAAGTAAGTGGATGGTACAGACAGATACGAGACCAGTCATATATTGATAACATTTGTTATAGCAAAACCCTTCAAAATGGCAAATCTCTACCAGTCCTTAACCATTGGGCAGTTTGGCAAGGGCTATAGGACTAGTGCCAATTTCTAACACTGCAAAGTATGGAACTTGAACGTAAAATGAATATGCTCACTTGTTTAATCCATTTGCACACTAACATTTCCCTATATATATAAGTTATAGCATTGCCCTCTATAATAGTGAGTGAGTGAGTGAGTTTGATTTTTTATTAAGCTATATTCCAGCAATATCACGATGGGGGACACCAGAAATGGGCATCACTCATTGTACCCTTGTCAGAAATTAATCGTCTTCGAACGCTTTAACCACTGGGCTACACGACCGACCCCCTCTATAATAAAGTGTTGGTTCTGTAGTTAAAGTGTGCCTGGCACAATATAATGCAAAGCATCCCCTTTTTTTATTCAGACAATCATTATTTATTCATTTTGATTTTTTATAAGAAGTATATTAGATAAAGTCAAAATCTTTTGGTTTAAATAACTAAGAATATTAAACTCTATTCTTTGGACACTTGTCTGCTAGAAAAGTGCACATTTTTATTTTCTTACAATACGAGGTGTATGTTAAAATAATTCAGTACAACAAGGGCGTGTATATATTTCTAGAAAACCCAAACCCACCCACCCAAAAATTAAATGGTTGTCCCTTGAGTGACTGAATATAGAGGTGTGTGATTGTTACACTGCATGGCAGCTGGTATTCGTGGGTGATGCTGGAACGCAGTGCACACAAACCTGTGAAGTACTCACAAAGGCCTCCAGTATAACTGTACATACCTGTGCGTAGTCCTGTCTTCCAGGGGTCCATCACCCTTGATGGCTACTGCTGGGGGCTTGCACGACTCCCGGGGCACGATAGGGTGGGCCCTGTAGGTTGTGTTGTACTCTGACAGCAAACATGGTCTATCTCCCCTCCCTATCGTCACATTGGGGCGATGCGGGCAGCGATGGCGCCTGAGAGAAAAAAGTAAAATATAAATAATACTCAAATTTCAAATTTGTTTTCAACATAACACATTAAATTACTGAATTTATTTTTGCTGCCCAGGAACACGAGGACCAGAGCTACCTACAGCAGTACACAAACTGTAGAGATGGTCATTTAGATGTTGCATATAGCATTAAATGCATTTCTCTCATCTACTTTATATCTAATAATGAACACTTTCAAGTGTTCTTCCAAAGTTATAAAAGTGATCTGGTCAAAATAAAAAGTCAGACAATCTATGACAAACCATTTCTATCATGTTCCATACATGCATAAGGTAGACATTAAAATGGTCAGACATTAATACCAATTGCATTAATTAAAACAGAAAATATTAGGTATACATTGTCGTTCTAAATAATCTGTGCCATGTTAGAGTAGGCAAGTGAGTGATTACTGCTTAATGCACAACAGCAGTCTTGCAGATACTCACGGCAATCTATGTTAAAGGTATACAAGTGGAAAATGTATATTGTTCATAGCTTATCTATAAATAAGGGGGCCAGATTGGTTCCTTTGCTAGGACATTGTCTGATTGTCATCCAAAATGTCCTCACAGTATATGGTGGCAATATAGACAAATGTTGTTTAAAAAGAAAATATCCTAATGCATTTTTCAATGGGAAAATCACTGTATTTTTTATTATTTAAGTGTCGTCCAATGGTAATGTTTAAAATGCTAAAACCAGCATTAGAAATTGGAACTAGTCCTATAGTTCTTGATAAACAGCCCAATAGTTAAGGTATCATAAGAACTAGTAGACATTTTCCATTTTAAGGGTTTTGCAATGCGTTATCATTATAAGGACTAGTGGACAAAATTGTTAGTTTCTACCGCTGCTAAAACGTTTTTATAATAGTATTAGTCCATTTAGTATTAGTCCTAGTTTAAAGCTGGTTGGAACAATTAACATTATTCAATAGGAGTATCCACAGTAATAGTCGTGTTCAGTTAATGACAACATGGAAAGCATTTCCTTCAGTTTTACAAACAGTACCTAAGCCTATTGATATTTATAAATAGTTCCTAATCATCACTGATCTTTCATGAAAACATCACTCACATCTACAAACCCGTGCCAACCTTGGATATGATCAGACATTATTAGGTTAGGTCGGTTACCCCTTGTGACCAATGTCTACCGATCTTTCAAGCATTGTATTGTGCAGCTACAGAAGACCAAATCTGATTAATCCTTCTTTGTACTATATATCATACTGTCATTGACTATATCTAATCACTACAGAAAATCAATAATCCTGGATAATCAATGTCAATAAAATGTATCAGCTGAAGATCAATAGCTTCTGATTTGGTTACAGCGACAATGGTCTACGTACAATGGCAGTGTGGCCATTACATCAGCTTATTGCTGTCAGAGCACTATTCCCAGTGATGAATGGAATGACTGTTCAGTCAATGAAACGTAATCAATCATGTTTTATCGTCATTTCAACTGTAAAAATTCAAGGCTGAATAATAAAAGAAAAATATTAACTCTCACTATGTCAACCATTTATGAACTTACTAATTGAACTGTATCTATCGTTTGTCCCAAATTTATTCACTCATAAATTTTTTAAAAAAAAATTTATTCTTCAAAGATTCATCAATAAAAGCCTTTATTACTTCACTTTGAATTCCATGTTCATTACATCAGTAATATAAATAATAAATCTTGAAATATATTAAAGTGCTAGTAACTCTTTTATATTTAAAATTTAAATTTAAAAAATTGTTATCTACATGTCTATGTACATATAAAAAATTATCCTGAAGATAATAATTCTAAAATAGAGAGAAACAAACAATTATGACAGTACTATCCTGACATATCTTCTGAAGGGACTTTTTAGAATATATTTGATTGTAAATACTTTTTATCAGATTTACAAATTTGCAATAGATCCCTGCAACGTTAGACATGTTGCTAGACATTTCTTATCCATGAAGGGGATCAGCTACTCCCATGACACTGCACCCCAACCTAGTGGTGTACCTGACAATAAAGCCAAGGGCAGGCCCTCAAGACTGACTTCTTGAAAATATACCCGAGACCTTATCTGGGAGATGGGGGCGCTACTATCAGCTTTATTTCTTTATTGATTTCAGATTTTGACATGCTCAAGTTTCACCTTATGAAGTTCCCCTGGGGTGGACAGGTTGTAATGTATGACAGCTTCTCTTGTAGGAAATGGCGGACTTACTGACTGAGAAAACAGGTTACCGTATTCGACGTAATAAGCGCCCAGGGCGCTCTCAAAATTAGAAATAAGGGGCTCTTATTAGAATATTATTTTGGTGGAAAAAACAGAGTTGAAAGATAAATTTCGTGGTTTGTGCTGACGGCCTGACTGTTTATATACGACAGATATATTTTTCGAGAATTTAATTGCCAATAATTAAGGGTGCATATAACACACGAGTGCGTATTATACACGAATAAATAAGTCTTGTGTACATTGATCAATCGGAAGGGGTGCTAATTGGGATTGTTCACTTGCCAATTTATTAGCAAATATCGCCGTGGGCGCTTATTAGAGCGGGGCGCTTATTACGTCGAATACGGTATATGTGTTGTGTATGAGGTGAAAGATTGTTTTTGCATTTTATACTGAAACATGTATTAGATAACATTTTTAGGTCAGAGTAAATTTCTTGTGTCTCGCAAAACAGAGATGAGATTTTCTATTTTTTGTTTCTTTTGTAGGATAAAAATCTATAATTTGATTTGTGTATTAATAGGATAAAACACACCTCCAAGGAAAAGACCACACACAACTGGGAAACGATGACATGCATCAACCAAGTTAGCAAGCCTGACCACCCGATCCCATTTGTCGCCTTTTACGGCAAGTATGGGTTGCTGAAGATCTATTCTAACCCGGATATTCACGGGTTACCAGATGCATGTGCACACACACACACATCAGCAAGTTTTATTCATGTCATGTTACCTCACTCTCAGTCAAGAAGTGTTGGGAATAGAATAAAATGTGGTTAGAAATAGCAATCAATGACTGACCTATGGCCAATCATGTATGAGAGTAGACAAATCATAAATTTAGAGAATTCCATCTCTGTATTCTTTATGAACCATGTCTGTTATCAGACATTTAGGTTTTTATTCTTGTTTTACTCAAATTTGATCCCCTTTGACATACTGTCAGAACTATTATGACATGAATTGGAAAAAGGGCAAAAATGCAGTATACCGACACCTTCTGCCTTTTTGGTAAGGGACGTGCACAAGTTCATTCCTTAGTAACGGTTTCTAAATTTTTCAGACGCCATTTTCGTTGCTCGTAGATACAAAACACGTATTCGCTGAAATGTGGTTCGGACGGATATCACTGATGAGGTTATGGAACTTCTATTTTCGAGTACTTTTTCGATGTTGATGTTCAATTTTCAAAGTTTATGCATCGCTTTGATATTCAATTTCAAGGTTTAATCATATTAAACCGTACACATGCAAGTGGGGCATTTTGTCTGTTTATTTTGATCTTTATCACCCTATTTTACAAATAGTGATGCTGTCGCGTGCAGCTTTATGAGTAGCATCAAACAAACATGGCGGATAGGTGTCCGGTAAAATGCATGTGTACTGGAAAATGTTTAATTAATATTTGGGAATTTTTACTGACATTTGCTGCAGACTAAGGGCAACATATCAGTTTTTAGCGAAGTTGTTTTTGCTGGACTAGGTCCCCAATTCAATAGAAGATACAATAACATATCCCTTAAAATTTACATCACCACCATAAATATTCAATTAGAAAAAAGGACAATTCTATTTAGGTTCTAATAGATTGATTTTACTAGATGTAGACAGCATCTATATTCTAGGTTTGTTTGTGTTGGAGAACAGATAGTGGCGCTACATGCAGAGTTAATTAATTTTATATCTACAGCAAAAAAAGAATTATTTTCAGATTTTGTTGACTCACTAATTAATTCCATACTGTAGAGGTTTATATTTTGTTCTGAGTGTTGTCCAGTTAAGCTATACTAAATTGAATATACGAAAGATGACTATCAAAACGCCACGAGCAATTATATTAATTGTGGTATTGACTGTCCCTGCCAACATCTAATGGTCTTTTAAACTGGTTAAATTGACCATACTGAAACAAGATTTTAACAAAAGTTCTTCAGATATTTACTTGTTATATACTGATAAGAATATGTTTACTACACAATTATGTTTCCTTTGGGAGAAACTTTCTTCATTTGATTGTTCTTAACGACATTTGACACCTCATGTCAACAGGACTAGTGACATTTTACACTAAAACCATGATAAACTACTTACCCGCATGTACAGATCTCACATATGCATCTCCTTTTCCCCATCACTGGATGTTTGAGACGTGATATCTAGATGCAGTTTCTTTCAAAGTTGCGATTAGATATCACTGTTTCGTCTAGAGCAGGTGGTTACGATGAAACACGGGTCGCCAAGCAGACAACACAATATGTTTATCAAAAATGGCGGATGGCAACAGGGCAGTCCAATGTAAGGGTATCAGGTTTCGTCATAATCCATATACCTCACGTCGGGTGAGACCTCCGCCCGTATCCCCCCTCAAAAATATATATAATTAAATGGATTGAGCCGCAAGGGATATATAACCTTTGTAGTGGGATACGGGTTAAAGTCTTTCCGTTCTCTGTTCCTGGAGAAACACTTGAAAGTGTTGATAATGGTGCAAACTCCCCTCACAAAGAATAGGGTAGACCCACCGCGCAGTGTCACCTGGTGGTTGATTACCGTACTAATGCCGGGTTCGGTCATACCACGTTTTGCAAAATCGGAAAGGTGGCACAGATCTGGGGAATGTAGACTACAGCAATAAACTCGCTTCATCGGACACCTTTCATACAAGACATATTTTTACATAATTATATTAGAAATTACTTAATTTTATATGAGTTCGTCACGCATATGGTAACAATGACAAGTGCGGTTGTTTATTGTCTGTTTAGTTTCTTAGTTACCATCACGTTGTATGTTAAAATATTTATTGTTGGTTAAAGAAATAGTTGCCTTGAATTGATTAAACTATTTTTTATCTGATTTAGGAACGTTAGGGACCACTCATGTATTATAGAGGGGGATGCGTGGATGGAAGGGGGGAGAGAGAGAATTCGTAGACTCACTTCAGCAGTACCACAATTAACATGATCAACTCGTACACTCACTTTAGCACTACCAGCGGTGAGTTTGCATGGCCGTTCTATATAACATTTTTCACGACCACCCCCACCCCCATTGATTGTGACAATATGCAGGAAATATCCACCTGTGCTTAAATTAAATTGACTTGTCCGGCATTGAGCTAGGGGGTCATTATTATGTAAATACGGGTAATTAAAAAACATTATACCCGGGTACCCGCTGTAGATCACAAGTTGGGTACAAAATGTCTTTGACCGGAGCCCTTGCAAAAAAACTTAGGTACGCCTATAACACGATTTTATCATCCATACACTGAAGTTGACAGAATTAAGCTCCATCTTTACTCAAACACACGAAAGTCAAATAAAATGCGTGCATAAATTGTCAGAAAAACGCGACTTGCTGTGTAACCATGGAGTTTGACTGTTATCGTCATTAAACAATTGTTATATTACGTGACTATAGCCACGAGTCCGGGTCCTACTCAACCTTAAGCTCACTGCCCCACCTCCCGTACCAACTTTTAGTTACGTCTTTTGGTAAATCGGTAGGTCTTACACCTATAGTAATCGTTATATGAATGTGGACGTGTATATATTTGAACACAACATAAGGAGGAAAAAAACTATCACTACAATATGTTCCCATATCTATTCTGAAAACCGAGACCAATGTTTTATAAATGATCGATGAGTATCCATCATTTCAGTAACAATTAACTAATAATGTGTGTGTGTGTGTGTGTGTGTGTGTGTGTGTGTGTGTGTGTGTGTGTGTGTGTGTGTGTGTGTGTATTAGACATTTTTTATGTGATAAATCAATCTGTATGCTTACAATATGGATGTCAAATCAAATCAAACATCCATAAATGTATGCATGATGCACTGTGGAAATTGTTTTCTGTAGATTCACCAAGTTATGTTGCATGTAATTTCACCAAGTTATGTCACATACATGTATACGACCCGTGAAGATCCGGGGTAGAATAGGTCTTCAGCAATTTTACCCATGCTTGCCGTAAAAGGTGACTTTGCTTGCCGTAAGAGGCGACTAACGGGATCGGGTGGTCAGGCTCGCTGACTTGGTTGATGCATGTCATCGGTCCCAATTTGGTGGATCGATGCTCATGATGTCAATCACTGGATTGTCTGGTCCAGATTCGATTATTAACAGACCGCCGTCATATATATCTGTAATATTGCTGATTGCGGCGATAAACAACAAACAAGCAACATACATGTATACAGGTATAAAAACATCAAGAAGGGAAACAAACAGGATTGTGGTTCGAGCACATACACCCGCATTCAAGTGGTTCTTGTTAAAATAAAATGTACTTTCACGTGGCTTCGCATGAATCTGAATCTGAAGGTTCATGGTTGATAAAGCATATACTATAAGTGTAAATGAATTCCGGCACTATTTTCCTCATGGATTTAGTGTTGTTTTCATCAACAAAAAACACCAAAATGTTTTTCGGGTTATTTGCATTCGGGTATAACATTTGTACGCACCCCTGCTTTCCAAAAGTTGTATCCACGTCTGCACTGCTAAACTTGAATGGAGATGGAACACAGGTGATGGAGAATGTTGTAACGGTATATGCAGCTGTGCATCACAACAAGTGGCGCTGTCATTGAGGATGTGTATTTGTTTAGGAATTATTCAATTGACAGAATAACTCATACGTTTTGAAAAATCTTGATTCTCGATGTATGTAAACGGTTTTTTTATATTATGTATACCATCGAAAACACTGTTGCGAAAATACTACCAGCATAGGTATTCTAACCCCGAATCCCAACGGTAAGGCAAGCGTTAATAAATAGTTTTATTTATGGAAGATAAACGAAAAGAATTAGTAGACTGACTTCAGCACTACCACAACATGATCAGAAGACTCACTTCAGCAGTATCACAACAGGATCAGAAGACTGACTTCAGCAGTACCACCACAGCAAAAAAAATGCAGTTTCCGGTATCCGGATACCTGCCGGATACCACCGGACACTTACCCAAAACGCGTCCGGGTATCCGGTGGCAGATACCTTGCCGGATACCAGATCTGTGGTATCCGGCATGGACACCTCACCGGAAAGTATGTCACCTGGAATCCGGGTATCCGGCACCGGATACCTCACCGGATACCTCAATCTGGGTGTCCAGGGATCCGGCACCGGATACCTCATTCTGAGTTTCCAAAAACATGTCACAATTTGGGGGGTGCATTTTGTTCAATTAAGTGTGAAACACCTAAAAATATATTGGAAACTAACCATGAAAATTGAACATTGCTGAAGGTATCCGGCAGGTATCCGGCAGGTATCCGGATGCAATTTTTCGAGATGTCTTTCTCCTAGTAAATAATGTTAGCCTGGGCATATCAGATAGCTGTAGTAATATTCTGTGCTATTTTAGTTCTAAATATCCCCTTGAAGTTGAGATTTATGGGCATGTACTTTTGGTGAAAACATTTTTCAAGTTCATATATATTTCAATTTAGATGTTCAGCGTATTAAATGAAAAGCATTCAGTCCTGGTATGATGGTATCCTTACATTTCATCTTCATATTCCCAGTTTGTTCTAGCCTAGTGGTTGAAGCATTCGATTCACAACATCAGTACATTGCTTTGTGTCACCCATCATGATATTGTTGGAATTTTGCTCATAAAGTGGCATAACACCATACTCACTCTGACAAAAAAATGAAAGTCATTGGCTATGTGCTCACTTGGGCCTTTGTTCCTGGTGAGATTAAAAGTTTATTTTGGAACTGTATCAATACTTGTTACATCTTGACAGACGAGTTTCATTGAAGTTCGAAACAGAATATCATTAACCCAAATGGGTGCATAAGACCAATGGCATCCACAGAAAACACCTGATAAAGTACTGGTACATAAAAATATCAATGTAACTTTTCTACTGACATGGAACTAAAAACTTCGTTCAGTGAGCTGTATTAATTGTAGGAAAACATTCAGGGCATTAGTATATTTGATATATGTTAGCACCTATGTTATGAATGATCAATATCATATTTCTTTAAAGAAGCAAAACAAAAAATTTGTTAAGATAAAAAATCATATTTATTGATTTTATGACATTTCATTGGTTCAGTAACCAGAGGTGTTTGCAAGAACATTCAAAAACAGAAACAGATGCTTCAATGCCATTTTCTAAATAAACAAATTAGTCAAATCTCAGAAGAATTTCAAGGTAGAAGAATATCTAAAGTCAATTATGTTTGTGCAGTAAACCACAAAAGTCATTCAGATTTGTATAGTCAGCTTCAGTGTACACCACATAAACAGTCTCACTGCTGTGGTATTAATTCATTTAGACTTGATTAATGTCGTAATAAAACAACCTACAGAATCACACTGATGTGGCATTATTCATTCAGAATCATCACTATCTGAGGTGAACCTGTTAGTTGTTCTGGGGAGGATTATTCATCATCCGGAGGGTCCTTTGTATGACTTGTCTGATCTGGTGTCATTGTGAAATTCAGGTGCCTGAAACAATTTATAACATCTTTAAAAGCTTGTTATTAAAAATATAAGAAACACACATATATTGACAAAGGGTAAAAAGTTGGTTTCTCAATGAGTAAGGTAATGACAATTTATCAAGCAACTGTTAACCAAACCATGTTAACCAATGTAAAAAAGCCATAGCAAACAGTAAATTGTACAGAAAATACAAAATTGTAATTGATCTTCTGAAAACAATTCCTGTAGTGCCATAAGGCAGGCTCACCTGAATTTTTCTCAAATGTTTGCATTACACCAAAACATAAGGAAAGGTAAACAAGGCAATGCAAATTGCATAAAATAGGTTCTTATACATAAAAACAGAACTAAAGTATTTGACGTAATAAGCGCCTCGCTCTAATAAGCGCCCATGGGAATATTTGCTAATATATTGGCTAGTGAACAATCCCAATTAGCACCCTTTCCAATTGATCTATGTATACAAGACTTATTTATTTGCGTATAATACACACTTGTGTGTGATATGCATTATTATTTTTTTATCATTTATCCTATCTTTAATTAAGATTTACAATAACGGCAAAAACTGCCAAATATATTGGTCAAGTGTAATCATAATTTAAGTAGTTCTATTTGGTTTTGGAACTTTTCAAGGGTAAATGTAAATATATGTGTATTCCTATTTGAATACTCATTTGATTGTTATAAAGTTACACAGTATTGCATCTATCGTCTGTTTCTTAATACAGTGGAACCTATCTTTGACTTGTGTGACATAATTGAATCATACCCCAAGTTCATTATGCATTGTTATGCATCTGCACAG